CTATATTCTTTTTATTGTTAAATTTTTAAGTGCTTTCATTTAAATACAATAAAATAACAAATAATGAAAAAAATTATATTTTGCGGCAATACTTTAGACTATTGTTGGTTTTCAAGACTCGCCTCGCCTCGAATATCATAAATTGTAGTACAGGGTTTTTCAATTTTTATGAAATTTTCCATCACCAAATCGCAAATTGCGTGCTTTATGCCCTCAAAAACTTCACGAATGCCATCTTTGTGATCTTAAATCGCCGTTAACCTATTGGCGTAGACCTTATCTCTTACGTCGCTCCAAAGGAAGAGGTCACAAGGTTTTATACCACAATATCTCGGTGACCAATTGTGAACACACGGTCCGGAAATATTACCTTAAAAGATTGATTTTTCTGTTACTTGTATGGCACATTGCGCCGTCTTGTTGAAAGTTAACGTTGTCCCAATCTATACCATCTAATTTCGGCCAAAAAAACCTTTAAGCATTTCTCGAGCAATTCATTCACCGTAACTGTTGCTGCAACCTTAATTTTGAAAAAGTACGATCCGATGGCCCCGCAGTTACACGTTGAGGATGGAAAGGATGAACAATAAATCTAAGGTTTTCCGAGCCCAAGAAGTGACAGTTTACTCATTGACATAGCCATAGGGGTGGAAATGAGTCAAGATAACTTTTCGATGCATTTCATGGATCCAATCAGTAAAGACCACGTTGTTGATGATTGGCCAGCCTTAAGGGGCACACCTAGTGGGAAATTTCAAAAAAATCGATCTTTTTTTAATAGTTTCATAGGTAGATTACACCTTTAAAAATAACATATTGAAATTTCAAATCGGTATCTTAAATAGTTTTTGAGTTATAGCAATTTAAAGAGCAGCCGCTCGGCAGCTAGAGAGTCTCATTAGCTACGAGTGAAAACGATCATTAAACGCGTTTTACTCGAAACAGCACTTTCCGAATTTGCTGCAGTGAGTGATTACTCAAAAACAAATGATCCGATCACTACCGAACTTTTTTTTACATGTTCTATATATAGTTCTCCGTACAACGACCTATCGATTTTTGATCTGATCAAAAAATCGAATTTTGGTAGGCCAAAAACGACCAAAATTTTAGAAAAAATTCGACTATTTTTTTTTAAACGCCGCCATTTTGTCAATTTTTGTATTTTTTTATCGTAAGTCATAGTATAGACAATATTATCCAGTAGAGATTTTTGTTTTTTCAGATTTCATCCACAGAGAAGGCCGGAATCACTGCAGCAGTGAAGGGACTATTTTTTCGCGCCGTTGAGGATCGACTATAACTTAAAAAACATTTAATTTTTTTCTTCAAAAATTTCACTGCATATTCTTAAAACATGTAAAAATATATTCTTAAAATTTTGAAATAATTGATAAAGTATTTTTTTAATGAAACTCCCAAAAACTACCTTTTTTTAGGCCATTACACTAGGTGTGTCCCTTAAGAAGCAAATCTTATTGCAAAATACGGTGTAATGTCGAGGAATGGAGGTTTTTTTCAACACTTTCAGCTTCAGCAGCAATATTCTCAGTTGTTTTTAAGTAACACACACATGTTTTATTCTCCAAATCGCGGACTTGTATCAACAGGTCTAGTCTTTCCACCAATTTCTGTATTGCGATCCGAAAAAGTGCTTCAAGGTGACCGAACACTATTTTAGTTTATGTGAACTGTCTTTTTAAGGTTTTCGCCTTTTGTTATAGTGAATTTTTATAATTTCGATGAGTTCGTTGTATTATTGGCTTAGCTTTTACTTATCAAATGTCATAAAATGACAGATTCAAACGCGACATCTACCGGAATAGCAGGCTATTCAAAATAACACCGCTTATTGGAAAACCCTTTATAAGTTAGAGGGCAGCACTGTTACCATAACGGTTTGCCATTATGTGCTTAAAATTATTTCGAGCAAGTGTCCCCCGCGGCTGGCTCGAATAAATTCCACCCGTAAACCCAATTTCGACCACTTTTTGAAGGATTTGTGGTCTCATGTCTGTAATATCTCGCCGATTATTCTCTTTCAAGGCGTCAAACGTCTGAGGCTTTTTGATGTAGACGGGCGACCTCACACAACAACTCGAAAAAAATTCCAGAGGGGATAAATCGCAAGATCTTGGAAGCCACACCACAGGCCCACGACGTAAGAAAATGCACTCACTAAATATTTCCGTGGACAAATTCATAGTTTCGTGGACTTGTTGGAATGAAAGCTCGTCCACATCAACATCCTCGAATTCAGCCATCAAAAAGACATTAATTATGGCTCTTTAGTGTTGCCTTGACTGTAATACAAATATGGACCAATGATTGCCTCCGCCCATAGAGCACACCACTCCAAATGTAACAATTCGGACGTGCCCATTCAATCAAAGGTGAGTTTCAGCCCTGAAAATAACGTTTTTGGGCCCATACACCAAACGTGCGGCGCGCTTGACGGTCGTTCAGCTTCAATTCTAGCACGAGTTGGATTTTATAAGCCCACAAACCAATATCCTTCTGCAAAATTTTCCATAAAATGGATGGGCACAACTTCAATTTTTGCGTTGTTGGACTCATTCGGGTATTCTTCGTTACTCTGCTCTGCATACACTAGCAATACCGCTTTAAATATGCACTGCGTAGCGTCTCTGAGGAGCATTATCAGCTGGAGTAAAAGTGGTGCGAAATCCATCTATGGTTGCTCAAATTACCGACTCGAATTGTCGATCCCTCTCATAAAAACCAACTTCAAAAAAATATGGTCTAATTGAAAGCAAAACCTCTACAAAATTCGCTAAAGATTTCGTTCTCAATTAGCCCTTTTTTTTCTCTTTTCTGATTTACATCAGAATGTTTAAATAATTTAAAGAAGAAGCAATTATTGAATTGAAATTGAAAACATGTTTTAGGTTTAGTTTTACTGACAGGCTGCTCCCCTTACATAAACCTATGAGCCTCTGTAGAGCGAGTGGGGAGGTTCAAAGTAATTCGAGGTAAACTAGGGGCTGCGTAGAATAAATTTTAAAAGCGCATTGATTTCCCCTTTCGAAACATCCTCAAATACTTTGAACGGCGAAACTCCTATATCTGTCGCAACTCTCCATTTTCTCGCGTGTAATGTCAGTAGTTTGTTGTCCTTTATAAGGCCAGCTACTGTACTGCCATTACACATGATCGTAACAGTCTTGCAGATCGTCAAGGTATTCCATCCCTGATCCGTCTTTCACCTTTTTCGGGAACTCGCATATCATAAAGTTTTTATAAACTTCTTTATTCCACGTACTGGTTCGTCGTGGCATCTTCAGACATGCGTATAGGGTACTACTCTATCTTTCTCATCCTCTCATACACATACTGCATCCGAAACTATTACTAGGTACTTGGTATATTCCTTAATTGCTAGCTCCACCACATGGAACCTAGGGTTTTCCGCCAAACATCGAGTTCAATCCTTGGGCTATACTTTTATGAATACGAGTAGTATAGTGACTGTATCTAATCTGTATATTTTCTCTATTCGAGCATTGGGCACCCCTGTGTTCTTGCGATGCTCTATATCATCCCCAATTGTATTGACGAGAGGATTGGTAATAAAGCGAAAAGATCGGCGCGGGAGCCCTCTGTCGAAAGTTATCCATAAGCGGAGGCTTTCAAGCGTGAAATACCATTGCGGTGGTTTTAAACGGAGTATATCGTCAGCAAGAACGCGAAGGATTATTTCTTTTGGGCTGACCAGCATTTATGCGTATAGACAATCAGCTATTACGGCCCTGGACTCATTCATGGTGAGCTCCAATTTTGTAAGAGAGAGATTGATAATTTGTGCATTAATTATATATAATTCCAAAAGTTGCTAATGCGAATGTGCTCCGCCATTTTTTTGTTGGAAAATATTTTATAGTTATTCTTTTTTTTGTGGTATTTTAACATAATAATAAAAGAAAAATTACCTACTTTGATTATTTTCGTTTTTACGCAGTTGGCAATTATTTGAAAATAACTGTCAAATATGCTCTTCAACGGCCAGAGTGAGCGAATTCGTAATATACACTTGGGTGTCACAATGCCAAAATCTTTTAAATGCTCTTGTAAACGGTCTTGCGTTTGTTTTTTTTTTCTCTTTTTTTTTTTGAAATCCAATCGGTTGTTAGCCAAAATGGCGTTTAGATTTTACCATCCCGATCGTCGACATGAAATATGCACTATTCAAATGTTTATCAACATTGTTGTTTATTCTCATTATAGCACAGCACTCATATGAACCCACCGACATTTGACGCTCATCTAGCTAAGACATACACCAGCAAGGAGCAAGCGCGTCATCTATATGCGAAGTCAAATAAAATTATAAGTAATCAGAGAACTTAAAATAACGAGAATTCATAATAACAGAGAATTTTTAATAATAGGGAATGTTAATATAAACAGAGAAAGTTAATATAATGAGAAGCCGCAAATGTTAAGTCACCTCGGATCGCTTAGCACATACAAGACCCAATGGGGAACTAGTTGAAATTGAAGACGCAACCCAATAGGGAACTGTTTTTAGCAGAAAATCCATTGCGCACTCTGCTAACTTTTTCAGTGGCTGTTAAATAAAGTACGGTGAATCCCTTTCCCAAAGTTTTTCAGAAATTTTTCAGTGTAACGACATGCATAACGTTGTCAGATCGGTACGATACATCTTTCATGCGTATGATTTCAAAAACATTTCAATTTTTCATTTTTTTTTAAACAAACTTTATTAATTAAAAACATTTCTTACATTTACATTTATATTTATAGAACAGACAATAAAATTGTTGTTATTTTCATTATACATACATATACATATAAGTATTTTTTCATGTTATTTGTTGCATATTTCAAAGTTTACTGCACGCAATAGTTGTTGTAGAATATTAATTAAAAGGCAAATGAAGCTAATCTTAATTTGTTTGTGCTTAAAACAATACACACACACACAAACAAATAACTGTTCTTTTTTCTGTACTTTTTTTCCAATTCTTTGCATTTTAATTAGTTGCGTTTTTACAACAATGACAAATATGAAAACAAATAATGTCTGTATGTATGGAAATTAGTTTTAGTGCATTTAATCATTTTCAAAGTTGTAGACACACATACATATAAAAGTAGAAAAGCTTGAAATATGTACATTTAATGACAGTCAAAAGTGAGTTTATTATTTTATTTTAATTTTACTTTTCATTTTTTTTAGGTGGGTACTAAATATGAAAAATTTGTGTAAGGCAGCGCAGCTAATAGAATTATTTATTGCCATAGATATTGATTATTTAAAGTTATTTCTAATATCTATAATTAAAAATAAATTTTCACTGAACATTAATTTGTTTTAAACTACCAATAAATTGTTTAAAACTATGATTATTATTTTATTTAAATATTCATTTTGTTTTGACTATTTTCAGGCAATGAGCTGAACTCACAAACATATGTACATACGAGTACACAATGATATATGTACATATGTATATACGTACGAGCTGGTATGTAAGTGCGTTTAGCATCATAGTGTTGCCATATTGTATGAATATTCAAAATTTCATCATTTCGCCATTTATGTTATGTTAAGTTATGTTAAGTGCTCAGTGCTTTTGGTGGTATGCATACAAGTTTATGAGGCGAGCTTTTCAAATTGTTCGGTTGTTCTTTTGCAAGTTTTACAAGAAGAAATGAAAAAAAAATTATTTATTTATTTTCTTTTTCTTTTTTATTTAAAATTTTATTCTTTTGACTCTTTTTTTTTTATCAATTAATAATTTGAACCGCTTCTGTGCGCCAAATACAGGAAATATGTACCAGCAGCGTAGGCCAAGAAAATGAATACACCAAAGACTCCAGCCGCAATATTAGAGCCATAACCATAGGTATTCGGATAGCCTGACCATTTGGCTAATTGCACAACGAAAGCTATGAAATATAAAAGGGTGCATATCGCGGTGTTAATCAGTTCCTGCAAAGAAAAAAAGGGAAAATTAGAATGTTTTTTAGTTTTTATGGGAAGTTGTAAGATGAAAACGTTTCAATGGATTAAAGTAGATGAAATTAGAAAGACGATATTTTGTACCAATAAATATATCCGGAGAAGTGCAAAACTCTTAACTCAGTATTGTTTGAGCGCATGCCAAAGATGTATAATTGGTGCTTTGAAACCGCTGGAGCGATTTTCGGCCGAGCTCTTCAACCAATTTGTGGTTTTGTTTGCACTGGAGCTAAAGATTGCGCAAAAAGCACACAATGTATTGATGCCACATGAGTCAACGAGAAGAAGCCTCATGGACTGTATTTTCATCTGCGAATCGCTCCTGAATCATATCAAAATCGCCCCGTTTTTAAGCGTATGAGGCTTGGTGACGAGCGGTGGATCACTTGTGTAACCAACATCTAGGCCACAACCTGTAATGAAAACGGCCGCAGCCAGTGAGCCGCCACAAACGATCTCCGAGCTCGGATTGAGCCCATAAAGGTTGAGTTGTGTGTTTGGTGGGATGGGTAAGAAATTATCTACTGTAAGCTGCTCGACTAAGGTTAAACACTTAGCTCGGACCTGTACTGACAATTGGACGGTCTCAAGCGCACAGCTTTGGCCGACAGGAAGAATGGTGTTTCCTCAGGACAACGCTAGACCACACAAATCGATTGTAACTTACCAGAAGCTTCCAGAGCTTGGAAAGGCGGTTCTAATGCATTCATCTTATACTCCGAACTTCGCACCAAGTGATTACCATCTGGTCCTGTCTAAGGCGAATGATTTGGCTGGATAAGAATTGGCCTTAAGAGAAGACTTTGAAAATCATTGTACCATCAAATTAGCCAACAAAGACAAGAGTTTCTATGAGAGATTTACCTTCAAATGGCATATTTGACATAAATAGAGAGCTGTAAATCATACGCTCTATTAGGTAGCATTTGCTTGTGATGAGTAACGGCTTCTTTCAGATAGTAAGAGTGTTCTTCAAACTTTACACAACAGAACCATCACCAGAGGCCGAATAGCGCTCAGACCAGCACGTTCTACTGCTTTCGTACCTTATCGAGAAAAGTTTGTTTCAGAGGTTCATGCAGGGCACAAAACCACCGAAGGAAAATAAAAAAATCTTTTTCTCAAGAATATATAGAAAAATTAATAAAATATTAACTTTTCTAATCATTTTACCCCTCGAATAGAGAGCTTCAATCCCTTCGAGTATATTTCTGATTTCCAATTCAGTTTCGAAGAGTATCAAGACAAATTTGGAGCAGGAGCTCCGTGGAAAATTTCTTAATGTCAATATCTACATAAATAATTATACTCAAGAAGCTTAGAGCCTTCTCCGACAAACATCTGGCTCTGGTCAAAAAAAGACTAGCTTCAAATTGAGTAGCAAGGTAACAAGATGCTGAGAGAGAGATACTCTCTTTTGGTGTAACCAACATCTAGGCCACTGTGGAGCTTCTGTTTAACCGACGTGTGGTTGAGCCCGAAGAAGCGCGTGAGCTACTTTAGTTGACTTTTCACATTGCATCTTTCAGTGGACAGAACCAAACGATAAATAACCCGTCATCAGTGCAAACTGTTGAACATCAGCGCAACTCTTAATTTTTCCATGAAAAAAGTTTAAGGGGGACATACAGAAAAGATAAATGCCAAGGTACCAACGGATTAGATATATTGTTGCTAAAACATCTGTATTCATTGGGAGCATAATTACGACCGGTCATAGAACGGACCAGCCAAGCCCTGAGGATGAAGCTATAACTCTTTCAGAACATCGCATTGAGGGTTATAACAGTAAACTGCTGATGCAAGGAGCATATTGGATAGCTGTGTCTTCTTAGAAGCTCAATTGAAGTTACCAAACACCCCCTCAAGACCTCAAGTAGTACAGTCACAATTAAAGATACTGTCCAGACTCGGCCTGATAATCAGTTTCAAAAATATCAGGATGCCAGTTTTTACAAAATGGAAGAAGGTGAGGGCTTGAGTATGAATAGCGTATTTTGTGGTACCCACAAAAAGTGGACCCATTTTCAAAGCTGGCGGAAACCCGAATTCTGACAATCATGGAGCTAAAATAGCTTATATTGCGCTCGAAAAACGGTTTTGATTCCCTAAAAATCTTATATTTCAAAATTATTCTACAACTCTGCCATCTCCAATAAATTAGACCCCTTGGGCTGCCATACAACGATTCGGCGCATTTTCCATGCTTTGTAACATTTCTGGAACGCTTCGACTGAGATGTCCGCGAATACCGTCGTCACGGCCGCATGGATGTGCTCCGTCGACTAAAAATGGGTTCCTTTGACCACCGATTTTGTTCTAGGGAATAAAAAAAGTCACAGGGCATATCGTGCTTAAATGGCGTTTTTTTGCAACGCGGCGATCCTCTTATAGGTTAAATACTGTGAGACGCTGAGGGCGGTGCGGCACGGTGCGTTGTCGTGATGAAGGATTCAGTTACGAGCGATGTCTGGGCACACCCGGTTGACACGTTTGCGCAATCTTTCGAGTACTTGGCGATAGTAGACTTGATTCACGGCTTGTCCCGGTGGAAGAAAAAAAAGCTAATAATCATTGTTTTGACCTTCAACTCACTCCCGCTCCGCGCCTCATCTTCCACACTTTCAGTTCATGCCATTAAAACACCTGTACACGACTAAGAGCACTATCGCCATGCACTTTTACAATTGTCGCGTACATTTCCGAAGCTTTTTCGCCCCATTTGCCACAAAATTTTATCGCAACGCATTGCTCTTGAGATCGTTTTTCCATTTTCGTGACGAGCAATACGAATACTAACGAGCTAAACGAGCTACAACGATGGCAAATATATCAATGGAGAGGAGATGGATGCCGGGAGAAGAAAAAGGGAGTTTCAATGTCGCAGGGTTACCACAATCGCGGCAATATAATCAGTCTCATTACTTTGTTGTCACACCTCGTAGCTCAGCGGCCGACACGAATCAGAAATCTTCCGAGCAGCATTAGCTGAAGCATTCGTAACCAGTATCAACAGATCATTTTACTGCTCGAGGATATTTACTCGTACAAATAATATATCTCTTTAACGGCATCTAAGCTACAAATAACCTCAACACTTTTAACTTACTGTGAATATCCAATTGACAGCTACAGTCAGGGCCTCACGAATGCCTAACAGATAGGCAAAAATCCACAAAATTGTCGCAATAAATGAGATTACAGCCACAAATAGGAAGAATGATGTAGCTGAAACGTAAGCAGGTGAAGCACAGGCCATGCAGATAATGCCAAGCACCTGTAAAGATAAGATTGAAAAGAAAAAAAATGTCAATTAGAATTTGTAAAATTTTAAAATACAACAAAGAAATATCTGAACATAAAAATAACAAAGAATAATCATAAAATTTGTAACTGATAAGATTAGTCATACATAAAAAATCGATTTATTACAACATATAAAAGGTAATAATCGATGAGTATTGATATTTGCCAGGGGATTTAAACGAATCACCTGTTGACAATTCATCAAAGGATTAGCAAACTCTTACACTTAACAATGGTTAACATAAATGAGTTATTTCCTGCTTTTAGCTGCAAATATTTGACTTCGATAAGATATAAATTTATATTTTTTGTAGTAACTCTGTAGGCCAACGTAAAAAGAGCTTAACACAACTTTTCGTTATAACGACAGAATGCTCAGTTGATGGAGAATTCGTCATTGTATAAATAAACCATTAGTTCTGGTCTATAGAGCTCATAATTTATTGGAAATACTAGAAATTCTTCACTAAAATATGTACAAAAATGTGCTTTATAGCAACAAAAGCCTTGCAAACAAAAGCAATAAAAAAGAGATTACCAGAAGTGGCCTGCTGATAAGATTAAATGTGATTGAGGTTATGATGTACTATGTGTAACTGCAATAATATCAATACCTTATTTGTAGATAAAACTGAAAGTTTTATGACAAGCTTTTTATGAACTGTTTGCTCAACTATATATATATATATATATATAATTGGCGCTGAAGCGATTTTCCGCCCAACTAAATAAACATAAAATCGATAATTAAATATATATTAAATAAAAATGAAATAAATGTTTAAAGCTTTATACCCGCTTAGGCGATTTGCATTCGTTTTCTCCGATTTGTGATCGGCAACTTCAATTTTTTCTATAAAATAGGCCTTAGATTTTTTATAAGAAGTATTTACATCGAGGTAATCGATGAATACTTCACCATGCAAATCCCAATATCGACTCGAACGAATTATCTTGTTGCAGCAGGGATGGATATGCACCCGCCTTTATGCAGCAAAAAGCTTCCGTTAACAAACACAAGAAACTTTCGAAGTCAAAACCTGCCATCACAACAGACTGCCGAATGGTTTTCTATTTGAATTGCATTCCTGCTCTCTGAAAACAGCTCGGTGTAAAGGAACTATGGGCCGAAACGTACAGCTGCAAACGAACTATTGGTTTTTGAAAAGAGAGCTGGTACGATGAATATTGCCATGCTGCAGTGGAGAGAAAACAGACCGCCCACCTCCCAATGTTGAGATCGGCCACTATACGTGCGGGGTAGGATGGATACCAAAAACTGAGGAGGGAAACAAGACACATTTGCAGGCAAAAACAAGAAGAAAGCGGAAATGCGTGAGTATGCTTGAGCTTGAAAAGCTGGTTACCAAAGTTTATGCTCGAAAATTCTACAAAGAGGTAAGAGGTAGACTTTTGAAGGGAACAAAAAGGTGATCTCCAATAGTAACTGATGCACAGAGTATGCTGAATTCACGGAGGGAAACTTTTCCAGCCTACTGAATGCCAGTGAAAATACGATAGCCGATGATGGCGAATGCAAAACTTCTTTCAGTGATGATGGAATCAGACATTGAATTACCCAATTATGACGAGATTTGAATATCGATTGCCTGCATAAAGAAAAAATGGAGATGGAGCCGATTACTTACCGTCTGAGCTATTTAAATATGGCGGTGAGGAGGTGACATGGTGCATGCATCAATCTTTAAAAAATACTTAGGTCTGTCCAATCCAAAGTCTACGCAAATTACCGTGATATAAGTTTCCTTAATATCGCATATAAGGACCTCTAGAGCTGCTGAAGCGATTTTCAGCCGAGCTCCTTCTCTTATTTGGGGAATGCGTTTTAATGTTTTTCTAACGAATAAACGAACTCTTGTAAGCAGCATTCATTATATAATATAATAGAAAAATACTCGGAAGGCTTGACAGTCCCTGCCAAGGTGCGAGGGGGGTAATAAAAATTAGTTTTATGTAGTTTTGAAGGTTGGTCGGACCAAGACTCCAAACCTGTTTTTTCGAATGATAGTATGCACTGCTAACCACTTGCCTATTGTCTAATTTTATAACAGATTTCAAGGAAGCTATTTCGGATAGAAACCAATGGGATACATAGGCTGGTAACAGCAAGTACGGACTAGCTTCAAATTTAAACGATTGGTTTAAATGTGGAAAACAAAATCGGGTCGCATTAAGGGCACTGATGCTTCGTGAACTCAGTTTGGGTGCCTGCCTAGACAGAATAATGTATCGGCTAACGAGTTGGCGGCTCAGCTTGGTAGGAAGACCACCTTTTTACCACTTCCACTATCACTGAATAGTTTGGGTGTGTTGTTCTCCACTTGGTAGCTCACAACAAGAGAGTTTTGCTAATTTAAACTGAAAAAATTTCAATGTGACAAAGATAATGTGGCCACAAAGATATAAAATAAGGCCACGAGAGCTTATCACGCGAAAGAGAATGACGATATCTCCGAAGAGACTGGGCTTATGATCACTTCGGCAGGAAACCTTAAGGGACTTCCGTTGATTTGAATAGGTTGAAGTGCCTACGGGCGGCAACATACAGAGACTTGAGTGTAATAACGGGTACAGAACTATGTCATATATAAAGGCGATGAATGCAATAAAAAGTATACTATCATCCACTAAATTTCCTTACAGAAAACTTCAGGCTTAACCCGTTAACAGATGAAAATATTTTCGTTCTATTGTTTATAACTTGTTTGATATGGTTGTAGCTTAACGTCAACCACCTGCACGGCAGCGGCACACATTAATACTTGCAGACACTAACTCGTAAAGGCCGACATACTGTACATATATGTATGTACATACATAAGTGAAAATACAAAATACACGACAAAAACACTTGTTGCAGCATTTGTTGGTTTGGCTGGCTGACTAAAACTGTTGTTGTTGTTAGTCTTATCTTGATTTTTATTATTCTTCTTTAATGTTTACACACTATTCTGTTTGCTTATTTGTTTATTTATTTTTTTCTCATTTCTAGTTGCCTACCACCTGTTGAGGAGAGGCGCTCATTTCAACACCTTGCGCTGGGTCGTTGTTTTTGTTTTTGTTTTGCCAAAAAATATTTTACTGGTGTTATTTGATGTGAAAACAATAACAAGCGTTGCCAATTTAAATGCTAATTTTTATTATTTTTATTTTATTTATTTTTAAATTCTTTGAGGTCTTAGACCGTTATATTTGTTTGTAAGTTCAAAAACGTTCTTTTAAATATTTACTATTATACTTCAACGTTCACGTAATTGACGTTTTATGGAAGGACATTCTCAGCAATTTGTACTATGAGATTTTAAAAATCTTGGTTTTGAATTATCTTTTGAAGCCTTGCGTTGGAAGAAACCTCAGGAAATCTTCATTTTAAGAAGCGAAAAAATTAATTTAAAACTATGTGAGGGGGAGAATGTCAAGTGAGTCTCTTTTTAAACTCTGTTGTATCATGTTAGAATGTCGCGCTTAACGGCAATAGATATTCGATTTGAAGTTTGAATTCTTGGAAGCACCTCTTAGAAAGCTTAACCCTTTTTTCTGAACCTTTAAACATCATTTTCTCTAAATCCATAGACTACTACTAAGCTACAATATATTTCGGGCAAGCAAATTTTTCGGACAGTTACTTATTGGAAAGCGTTCAACTTTTGCCAGACTCTAGATTAGAATATGTCATTCACTTGAGATTTGTGTCATGTTTACATTTGCAGTCTATCAAAGATTTAATTATCGGAACCTGCAAGCCTTTAAAGGGCCCAATATCCTTTACTGGACAATTTTTTACTCTTTCCAATTAGAAAGAAAAATCTGTTCTCCGGTTCAGAGCTAAGCATGCAAAACTTTTTTCCATGTTTTCTTATAACTTGTTAATGGCTTCACAAAGTTCAACCAAATTTTTATGACATATTTGGGTCTCCAGCTAGAATTATTTTCGACTCATTCTGCTGCTTCTGAAAATGCTCAGTAGAAAGTCGATAAAATTAAGGGACGGAATTTAAGCTCTCTTTCTACCCCCGCGCGGAAAACAATTTGCTTAGCACAATATCGGAAGAGGAGCTGCTACCTAATATGAGGAATGTCGAAGTACAACGGATAGAAAAAATGCGGCACTTGCAGAATGAAATATATATACTTACAAAGGGTTTTAAAACCCGATTGACCGATATCCAACCTATACTGAGTTTATTAGGAGATGAGTCTTCTCAATAATGAACAATGTATGAACAACTAAAACCCATCGTCAATGAGCTTATTGTTCCTAATTTTCGTGGATTTAGACCTCGTAAATTCGCCATTGAGTATTGAACAATCTCAATGCCCCAAATCTTTGAAAAGCCTCGTGAAAATGTAATCGATACTCATTTAGTTCTTTGATGATTTTAAAGATACAATTGGTGATATATGTCGGTGATATTATTATTCTTGATCTTAACCACTACGTTGTTAGCTCTACTTTCTCGTGATCTCAAAGCAAACTAAGTCAAGCTGAAAGATCTGCTGTGATTAAACAAACAGTCGGCGTGTTCGCGTCTTATCTACTACTTCACTCTTGCCTAACATAATTTCATCTAAGTAGGAGTCAGGACTAGAACCAAAAAGAGGGGCAGCCTTAAAATACAACGCAGAATCATTATCGGCAGCAGGTGTCATTTTAGCATGACTAGGCTTTTGAAAAATAAAAATTTTCACTCTAAACTCCAAAAAACACTCATCATTTCTGCTATATGGCATAGAAATGCCGAGAAACAAGTTCTTTTTTCCTTTTCTGGAAGGATCAGTTGAACAGTGATCGTGGACAACGCGTAAAATATCGAGAAAAAAATAAACGACGAGCGTACTTTTGTTTAGAGATCGTTTAAACTGTTAGTAACATGTTTGACACAGAGATGGCTCTTTATTAAGATTAACATAAACCTTACTTATTCTTCCCAAAAAACCAGGTAACAGTCT